TCATCTTCTTCACTCTCCTCTTCACCTAAAAAAAAAAAATATGGTCTACAGTGTAGGTGAATTACGTGCATCTTGCCACTAACTTCATGTAACTTGTTCAAATAAAGGAGCACAATCACTATAATACCACACTCTATTAACATTCCACAGTATTGGTTGTACTCTAGAGCTGCAAGGAATACGTTGTTAGATGTTTCTTGAACTAGCATGGCATGATGCTGCCTGATACCTGTACATGGCAATAGACCTTGTACATGTACATGTATAATCTTAATCTGAGAGGTACATGTACATTTTCCCCTAGCCTAGTGTCCCAGAACTACTGGGCAAATTTGCTCAAAGACTGGATACTGCTATCCCAGGGTTAATCACTATCCAGCTGAGATCACAGCTTCTTTTATCCACACTTGACCTTTGGATAGCTTTTTTTTGTAGTAAATAAGGTTATCTAGATCTACTACACTTTGTACACATGAGGCCTGTTGTGTTAATCTGACTGGGCTTCTGACAAGAGTGCAGGAAAAAATCATATTGTGCTGGATTTTGGGGCCAAATTGTGCCAGGAAAAAAAATCGATTGTGCAGGATTGTTTTGTTATGGACAATAAAACAACTGTGATTTATTATTTGCAAAACAATTGTCGCAATCCGCAAGTGAAAAACTGGAGAAGCTGACTACTGTCCATGATCACAAAAGCTGCTGTATATGTGAAGAAAGAACACCTTGAAAGCAAGGCTGGAGCCCTGAATGTTGTAGCACAAAGCCGCTTACAATGAACATTGCATCTAATCATTCCTTATGGCATCACAATACTGTACAAGGGTTCAAACAAATTCTTACCAACTTCAACACGAGCAAGCTTCTTTGGTGGTCCCTTGGGAGTCTCGGATGCAAGAGGTCTTTTCTACAAGTAAACAAGCTTGCCTTGTTAGTGATCATGAACAATAGCGACACAACAAATGTACATTAGATGTAACTATACAAAAGGGCACCCCTCAATTTCTTCCCATGGCAGATAAAAATAATAAAATAATAAAGATTGTCCATCACTTCTCAAAGCCTATTATGTTAATGAGATGTCCAGTTCTCCAGGCTTCACTTTGCATTTGTCTACAATGTAGAAATGTAATGAAGTACAAAGTGCAGTCAAGTGCTTATTATGAAATATGGCATACAACACTCTTGACAAGCCATACCAGTCAATTACAACCAAAGTCAAACAGCACATTCGCATGCTTTCGCTATGACTTGTAAAGATCTTTTAATTATTATTTTTTCCCTATGGTTTCTAAGTAGCAAAGAGAAAAAGAATACTCATATGAAAACAACATGAAGGTGCTTTAAGCTTGAGAAAATTCCACGCTTGCAAATGAGGCCTGGGAGTGAATTTTGAGCATTTGACATAACACATACAAGACCTACTGAGAACAAAAACTGTGCATTTATCACTACTATTCATGAATCAGAGCTCATAACCAATAGGATGCACAGAGCCGAGTTAGTTACTGTATGATTATATTCCTGTAAAATGTACCTTTGAACCAACTTTAGCCTCTGATTTCACTAATTCATCACCATCTATAATAGCAAAATTGATACAACTGTTAATCGCTCACTGAAAACTCTGCACTAATACATGTATGTTCAGAACATCTGTACGAATATTACTACAGCAGCTTTTAAACAGTTACAGCAACATTGTATAACTTTTGTTCTCTCTCAGGGTACAGTAAATACATGCAACATGTATTTCACAGCCATTTGAGTCTAAACTAAACAGAAAAAAAGTCTGGGACAAGTACCTGTGTGTAGCTACCTTCAATGACATTAATGAACAGATTAACTTCGAAGAGAACCAAGTACATGTAGCATTTTGTTCATTCGAAAAGTAATTTACCCAAGGAGATTATAAACCAGAACTGCTGCCTGTTTGTTTGTTTGTTTGTTTGTTTTTTGTCTGTTTTACTTTTCAACATTATCAATTAATATCTATGTATAGTTTGCTCTACTACATATATGTACATGTTCTACACACAAACGAAATGTCTGCTGTTCTCAAATTAGGCAAAACAATACAGCATAGGTTCTCCAACTCCATGTTGGTACTCATGTCTCCAACCAGAACTACAGAACAAGTCTCAGAAGCTATTTGTTTAAGCAAACGTTTCATGTGATTTTAATTACAAACCAGATATTAATTTGTTTAGTTTAATGCATACCTTCATCACTCTCTTCATCATCATCATCTAATAAATATAGTTCTGCAAATAGTAATGTTAAGAATAAAATGGTAGAAGCATCATCATGAAAGACTGTACAGCAACTGCATGACAGTTGATAGGTAAACACAAAATGCAACTTTTACATGTACTGTACATGTATACATGTGTATACGTCTTCACTAAACAACAGTGCCTTAAAACCAGTCTTACCTTGGTAAACAGAGCCAGTCAAATGGACAGGTCCAGAACCTGAAAAAATGCAATAAATACGTCATTAAATAACCCAACAATTTACTGCATCGTATCTTGTCTAAAAGTAACACATACAGGTATATGTACCTTGTAACACAATTCAGGTAATATTACGGGACAAATTGATCTTGTCAAGGTTTCTCATGGTGTACATGTATGCACTGACACATGGAAAGACCCCAAAGACAATGTAGGTTAGTTTAATGCTGTACAAGGCTTACTGTTATTGATAATATTTTAACTTCTGTTGGTTTTCCATAACAAAAAATTCATGTATGATGTTGTTGTTGCTATTAAATGTATAGAGGATATTACATGGCTGTGCATGCATGGAGATACAAAATTTCTCTCGAGTGTTGAAAAATATTTCATGAGCAAGCACGGTGAATGAGTGAAATATTTTTCAGTATGTGGGATATCAATTTATAAATTGCTACCACTCGGTATATCATTACATGTAAGTTTTATTGAACAAATAAAGAAGCCCAAGCTGTGTATTACACTGTGATAAAAGACGACAGGCATTTGAAAACACGAGTGTTCTCAAATGTCGGAAGTGTTTTATCACAGTGTAATACACAGCTTAGGCTTCTTCATTTGCTTTATAATAATAGAGGAAATGTGGCAAAAAACGCACTTTTTTATGTTTTACACTCTGATAAAAAATGGGTTTTTGACCAATCAGAGTGTGTGCAGGGTCCTACATGTATCTATATCATACATGATAATAAAAGTGGTTCATGAATGCACAAATTAAATGCAAGGACCTACATGTATTTTCTAAGAAAACAGCTTTAACAGAAAACTGAGCAGTCCTCTTACCCTCGATGAGTTTAAAGGTGGCTGAGGATGGGAATGCCAAACTAAGTCGACACTATAAAAGAAGGGAAACATCAGCAATAAATAATAATAAGAAAGATATAGTAAATTATAAGCTCAGTAGTGAAACAATATGCTGTTCACCATGGGACAAACTAACAAATATGACTTCAGGACCAATAGAATTCTTTCCTACATGACCTCCCAAGGTTTATGCACTAAGCTACAGAGAAATTTGTGTTTACAAAATGTAACAAGGCTATAATTTAACCTGTATATTCACTACATCGTAGGTTTAACTGACACACATCATGTCTACTGTTGTACTTCTATGTAAAGAAATTTTGAGAGGGTGCTGAAAGGTTTAATAGTTTGTTTTGCTCACATTGTATTTATTTAGTATTTTCCTTATTTGTCATCGCCTTAATAATTCTTTTGACCATACATTTACACTTCATCAACCATATTTCAGTTTACTCTGTAGCATCCCAAATTAACCAGCTAAAACACTGAGGAGCAAATGCAAACTGAAGTACACAGAAAGTGTGTGACATACGACAAAGAGTGACCAAAGTTTGGAAGCTTCGTAATGATTATATACATACTAAACAGCAAAAATTATGCAGTCATTATAACAATAATGTTTAATCAATGGCTTAATATAGTATTTGCAAAAACGGCAAACAAAGATACTAAACCTGATCAGTTTTTCCAGACGTTAAGGAGAGAATTGTGAATGTAACCATGCTATCACTACTATCTGTTGTCGTAACCTGCACCAGATTTTTTTCATTTGCTTTGGCTTTTAACCCTAGACAAGCCTGCAGAATGAGAATCGTTGATGTACATGTAAATATCAAAAGGGAGAGTAAGAACGAATACTGTCTGTTGGATCTGAGCAGAAACACATCTTGAAAAAACAAATAATCATGTCTAAATAGTATCAAATGTGTCATGATTTATTATCCAACACTTTCCTTTGGTTTCTCTGGTTACCAGGGCAGCATGCAAAAAAAGTTATGTCTGATAGCCAGGGGGCTAGTAGATTTTGCAGTCAGGCAAATTAAGCTATTAAACATCTCTGACATTACATGTAGCTTTAAATATCAGTTCCCTTATTAACTTCACGCTCTTAACCAAGATATTGCTTCACCTGCCCTTTCAACACGAGTGTGGTAACACTTCAACCATTTCACGGAAAATTGTTCAATATTTTGTCAACAAGTTCTTCCGTGCAAATAAACTTAATTCAAATCTTAACAGCGCTAGCCTGACCAGCTCCTAGATTATGATTACCTTAACAGTGCCTACAGCTCTTAAACCTATATTGCTAATCGATAACATCGACAAAACTTTAGCGACTGCAGAAACACCATTTAGCTAAGTAAACGTCGTAAGCACGTGGAACGTTGATAAACGCACCTGAGATACTACCAGTTTCTGCTCAATATCTGCCTTACTGAGTTCTTCGTCTTCACAGTCCCAACTGTGTTCCTTTCTGTCCTTGCTCAGCTCACAGCCTGTGGTGGATCGGATTTTAAAATAAGACTATAGTCACGGCTGAATAGCATCAACAAGAAGTCTTACCCCAGAAAAACTCCTTCTCCATGGACGCCATCTTACAAAAAGAACGATTCTCGCGTGGTCGGTATTATTCTACGCATTCCCTTGAAGGACACAGCCGCTGGTCATTATAGGCACGTGAGGCGTACTAAGAGTCGCGTGTCCTCGCGTGTCACCTCATTTTATTCTCACGTTTTTCTCCGGCTTTACTACAGTCGACTCCCGATAACTCGAACCTTCAAGGGAAACTGATATAGTTTCTAGTTGTCGGGAGTTGGGAACAACGGTGTTTGATGTTTTTTTATTCATGCAGTGTACATTTTAATCAAATTTAATTACAGAATAGAGACGTCGAGTGAAAATAAAGCAATACAGCTCTAAAAGGTAAAGGTAAAGTTACAGGAAATGTATGACGGAAATCCAGGGGGCAAGCAATTTCGGTTCGAGTTAGTGCAAGGTTCGAGTTATCGGGAGTCGACTGTCTCAAAGATTCGGCCGCACTTAATTTTGAACTGATTTTGGACACAAATTTGTCCAAAACTGAACCTGCCCCGAAGGTTCAAGGTTTCTGCAAATTTTACAGCGCTCACCAATATTGATGTTACTTCATTGTTCATTAGAAAATTACTTCGCTCTCAGAGAACTGGTCGCTTCTCGGAACGGATATTATCCGCGGACAAATATCCGAGCATATTTCCGCGCCAAATGGAAGATATTGCTTATATACATGTAAACCTTCTCATCACGGCTTAGGAAGCCATTGTGACCCGTCAGACATCACGCATCAGAAATTATAGTAGTTTTATGGGAATCTGATGCAAATGATTTTCTTGGTTTCTTTCGATTTCTTCTTTTCGAATTTACGGAAACTTTTAATCTGCGCACAAATTTTCTTTAAAAAATGCTTTCATCCAAGATTTCCAAATCATGGGACAGCATGCAGTCCTATATTCTTTCAGAAAAGTCCTTCGTCTTGATTAAATATTATTCATTACCCGTCCTACGAAGGACTTTTCATACTGAGGGGGGCATTGGGGGGTTCTGAGCGCCGCAATACCGCAAAAAATTCGGTAAATGCCACAGTATCGCAAAGAATATCGCCAAATACCGCAATACTTCCAAGTCGAAACTCGATGTCATACCGAAACTACAACTCTGTATGTTAAGTTCAAATCAAATATAGCAATTAAAAATTTACAATCAAAGTTTTCAAAATTTAAGGTGGCTCTGAAGCTATGTACAAAATTTTTTAAAATTTTTCCAAAAGTTGCATCTCATCATGCTTGTCAAAATTTGATTTTATCAAATAAATTTCACCACCTCGTTTTTTAATTAATAAGCCCCTAAAGCCGTACTTAAGGGTATTTTTAGCAGGTCATATAACGAAAATGATACCAATGTGTTTACCAATGATTGGGCAGGTTTTTGATACCATGATTATAGCATGAAGTGATAAAGAGTGGTTATAACGACCCATCAAAGGCTAAGTGCTGGAAACCGTTGAACATTTGTCACACTGTGCGCATTTTTTTGGTGCATGGTCCACTCAAGGATGCCGAGCTGCCACTGCATTCGCACAGTTTAAGTCTTTAATTAAGTTCTTACAGAAAGCTGCAAGCGCACGAAAGTTTGGTCTTAGAATAGCCGTGCCGCTTACATCCGAAAATATCCCTAAAGCTATCACTTAGATATCTAAGAAAATTAAAATGAAAGCATCTCTCGCATGCAGAACCTTGCAATTTAGTACGAACCAAACAAGCATAGTGATGCAACAGCAGCCGTATAAGAACACATCAAAGCACATCGGGAGCTACTGTTCGCCGATTGGGCAGAATAGGGAGCATACCTCGACTATGACAGCAACAAGAACGTCACCAAACAAAAGGTTTACTGAGCAAAACAATAGCTGTGCACGTGCGTTATAAATCCTTGTACATTTCTTTGCCGTCCTCTGCAAAACAAGAACCTGAAATGACCAAATTCTGCGTAGTCTGAGGAACGCGACCGACGACGGCTATTTTTGTTTTTGTTTTTTTTTTTTTTTTTCCCATCTGAGATTGATCGCTGTCGTTGCATATTTACACTGGGCAAGTTTTAGAGCCATTGGCGTACTGAACACATCTAGACAATTGCGAAAGTGTTACTTAGCTCTTATTAACCGAGCAGAAGGTCTGTATGGGAGAATCATGACCGAGGTCGGAAGTACAGACCGAACGCAGTGAGGTCTGTACACACGACCGAGGTCAAGATTCTCACATACAGATCGACTAAGCTCGGTTAATAAGCTGTTCATTACATGGCAAACAAAAACAAATTAATTCGTTTCATTCGTTCATTTTGCTTGCGAACGGCGATAAGCTGAACTTAATTCTGCCAAACTCGTCATCTTTACTTTTTTCCTCATCAGGTTTCGCACTTCCATAATATGGAAACTTTCTGGAACAGGATTATGGCTCCAGTTCTGGAACTAATATGTTGGGAAAAAAATAGTCAATATTTTTGTATTTAGTTTGCAACTTTTTCACGGCAAAATGTAATCGATCGAGATGCCGGTCTAGATGGGAAAATCTAGACCGCGGTCAATATCGATCTCGGCGAATCAAATTCGTGAATTTGGTAGTTCCCAGTCCTTGTGAGACAC